GGGAAGGAGGGTGGGGGCGGGGCACGCACAGGGGTGACGGTACCCTACCACCATGATATCGACGCCGACGTGCCGCAGTTCGAGAAATAAGGCATTAAGTGATCGGCAAATACCGGGTAGCGCTGCGCAGTTCGGGTTCGGAACGTTTTCGGGTGGTTATCGACGGGGTAAGCTCCACTTCTTTCCTCTGTAATACGACATGGTGGTGGCGCAATGTTCTCGCGACTCGGATAAAACTAGTGAACTTGCGAGCACTAATAACGGCGCAGGGGCCCTGATCCCCTCACAATCTTTGTTACTCGGAGCTTCTTATCTCGCCGGTCATCTGACAGTCGATATGACGCGCCAGTCAGCAGTTCGAATCGAGCGGAAGTATGAAGGGGATCAAAAGAAATGACGCGCCCGTGACGTGTCTCTCCGGACGATGACGACGGTTCGAGCTTAAGGTTGTGACATAATTGTACATTAGGATAAGACAATTTCTGTCTGTTTCGTGTTCAAATTGAGGGAATGCAAAGCTATAGTTTTTGGACACGAAAGTACCAGAAAGTGTGGCAAGTGAAATGGAATTCAAACACAACAAGATCCAACAAAAGCGCAATAGGTCTCAACAGTATCACACGATGTCACATAGAAGTTTTGATTCCAAGAGTCATCTACTAAGCTTATCAGAATAGACCTTTTCGCCAACAACGTGACAACGCCGCTAGTAGAAATTTAAACTTGACCACATAAAAACCGTAGTTTGAGTGTCTGTCAACAAAATTACTCATCACCACTGGATTCCCTGGAAAATTTAACAGGGGCAAGTGTATTTTGGTTTTGAAAATTGGCCAAAACTACAATGTAGAGATTTGCGTTGTTGCCAAATTGTGCACTGGAAACGAAAGTGCGTGAATGTCGCACACTTGAAAGTGTGTGAATATCCATTCGGGTTAATTTTGTAGGAAAATTCACACGCCCCCGCCCCCTAAGTGTACGAATGGATATTTACACACCTACAAGTGTGCGACATCCACACACTTGCGTTTCCAGTGTGGTCGAAAAAGGTCGATCTCATAATGTTCTGACTTCTCTCGTGCAAAACAATGAATACAAATGACAGTAATAAATCAGTCTTTGAATTACGACGGTCATAACTCAATCACAAAATAATGACCTGAACAAAATATCGTACCTGCTGGAGTATGTGAAGTCCTTGACTGAGAGTCCTACTCAAATATCTCACACTCCCACACAAAGTGACCCTCCCCTCCTCGTAGGGTGGCCGAGAGGGAATCGCGACTTGGGCGGGCGACACCACGGCTCCACATAGGAGACACAACCTCACGGGAAGCGCGGCGCAGCGCGACTGCCTGACCGACCAAAACAACAGCCGGCAAAAGCAGCCGGGCCGAGTCGAGCCGAGTCGAGCCGAGCGCGTCGGCACAACAAGCCGCGCCAGCCGATCGTGTCGTCGTCGCGCCGGACCAAAACACGTTCCGAGACGCACTCTTCTATCTCTTTCTCTCTCTCTCCCCC